CTTGCTCCATCGCGGTGCATGATATAACCACGTGCTCCGCCGTATCAGGGCCACCGCAGTCGGGACATGAGGGGTCGATGTTCATCCCATGCTTCCTGAGTTTGTCCCTAAACCCCCCATTTCCCTTCAGGATCTGTGAGGTCCAGTAGTCCGGCTCGACCCAATGTGCTTCCAATCTGGAATAAACGGTGGGGAAGTATTTTCTCAAGATGGCTCCATTCTCACTTACAATCCACTGCCCATTCCACTCCTCTAGTGTCGCCTCACGAACTATGCCACCCTATCTTCCTGGATCCTCACAGACCCTCCGTTGAAGCCCCTCTGGGAGTGCCTCCAGGCCCTGCCTCGTAAGGTCATTCCTCCAAGCGTCCTCCTGAAGGACGAAATCGATGTGATTTGTAGTCAAATCGATGTGACGGGCATATCACCTAGTACCGTTCATCCTATATTCATGAAATTTTCAGGGATTATGCTGATTGGTGCCTAGATGGTCCCATATCAAATATGCCACGATTTTATCAAATTCCATCCACTTCCGCTTACGCACGCGCAAACGTATATATATATATATATATATATATATATATATATATATATATATATATATATATATATACACGGACAGGAAAAATAATTCCACCCACTTGTTACCCATTAAGGGTAACGTTGGAAAGGTTGGCTCTGGGAAAAATTACAGGCTGCATATCTTTTGTTTCTTCTTCTCCACACCCTTTCACGCCCGTCTGGAGATCGAAGAGCGAATCTTGATTCATCTGTAAAAGGTACAGCACTCCATTCGTCCATAGTCCAATGGCTATGTTCTCGAACAAAAGACAGCCGTGTTACTCTGTGAGTTCTGGTCAACTCTGTTCCTCTTACTGGACGAAAAGCCATTAATCCATACTCATTTAATCTTCTCCGAGCGGTACGTTTAGAAATTTGCACACCTCGAACTTCTTCGAGCTGATGAATCGCTAGAACAACGGTAAGGTGCCGGTTTCGTAAATTTCTCAAAGTCAATAACCGGTCATCCCGTGGTTCTGTTACCCTAAGCCGTCCAGAACCGGGCCTTCTATTGTAAGAACCAGTTTCCTGAAAACGCCCGACGGCGTCTCGTAAAGTTTCATACGGAACTCCGATGGCATTAGCTCCATATCTAATGGAACGTCCATCATCAATAAGTGCCACACCACGCGCAACATCCTCACCACTAAGAGTCATTTTTAAACTCAATATTGAAAAAATTAAAAGCCGGAGACTAAGAAATGTGCTGCAAGAAACGGCACTGAACTAATGATACTGAATAAACATTTTAATTCCATAGAAACATTGGAATCTAGAATCATTTCATTAAATTAAGGATTAAGGGTTATTGTCCTCTATATTAACATTCCTAATTGAAAACAAACAAAAAGATTACCTTTGTATTCATTAAAAACAATAGACCAATCCATAGCAGAAATATTTTTAGATGAAAACATGAAAAAATCAAGAGGGTGGAATTTTGTGCCTGTCAGTGTATATCAAGTAGCACAACTTAAATGTTTTTTAGTTAGTAATTTTGAACTTAATTCCCGGACTGGTATTCTTTTAGCATATTTAATTACAATTATAATTTTTAAAAATTTATATGACCTGCAGAAAAATAAAAACGTGAAATTGAAGCACTATTAGTCTGCTGAGAGTTGATAAAAATGTAGTCAAGGCTAGCGTATCGACACCCACCCCTTAAATTTTGACACCCCCAACCTATCACCCTCGGCTGTATTAACGCCCTCATCACATCGACTAAATATTTAACCCCCAACTCAAGAGTCATAATCTCCCGTTGACGGACCATGGCATCAGGTGGGCCAGGGAAAGTAGTCTCTAAGTGTGCCTACTACTTAGCTTAAATTTGGGCTTGTGCATTTTTAAAGCCCCACGTAACCTGGCAGCTGTAATTATAAGCTCACTACTTAACACATTACACCTCCTCCCCTCCCCCCAGTAATGGTTACCATCCTCTTACCTTTGGATTTAAAATATCCCTAAAAGTTTATTTTGTTGAAACTGAACTGGATTCAACTAATAGGACCTTCCTTAAAAGAATTGGCTGTGTATTTTCAAAGATCGTTAACCAAACGAAGTAGGCCCCTGTCTACAAATTAACGAACTCGTACAACAGTGAAGACTTTGAAATATACTTTTATTGTGAAATATAAAGTTATATTGACATAATCTTAGTGAACTTCTTACAAACTAGCCTTGTGAGGCCTAAACTAATGTTACATAAGTTACATCTAGTGATTTACAGATGGAATGATGGAATTGAATGGAATGAATTTCTCTAAGATTAAGGGCGGTAATATAGCCCAACTCTGGGGTGGGGATAGGATTGGCCGGAGTAGGAGAGGGGGTGATAGGTGTTATCTTGGTTTCTAGGAACCAACTAAGGGTAGGTGCCGGTAGGGATACTGGACAAAGGATATTCAGAAGTAAAGTAATAAAACTTCTCTAAGGGCGGAAGCCTTGACAGTTCAAAAGGAATCCGATGGACAAATGCCTGATATTCGGGGTTGTGACATTGACAGCTTTTAGAATTAGGGCGGATGCACGTCACATAAATATACCAAATGGTCAAGATGCCCAACCCACGGAGAAGGGTCACAGGATACTATAACTCAGTGGTCAAAGCGAGCGTGCTTAATTGGAAAAAGATGTGCCTTGAACCAAGGATATAGCAATATTCAAAGAATTGTATTTACAAAGGCTATTGTCTTTTATCTTACATATATGTATCTTAATATCGTAATGTAGGTGTATACGTAAATATTTATCTGATTTCAGCTAGTTATAATTTAGAAAAAAATATTTTACAAGTTATTTTGATTGATTAAAATTTATAAGTACAGGCCCAACTCGACTACTTGGATCACTACGGAGCAGGTTCGATTCCCGCATAGAGACGTCCCCACCCTGAGATTCATAGCTTGTTGAGCAGCCCCTAAGTCTTAAACCATAGTCCTGGTCCTCCAAGTTAGTGGTTGGGTACACTAGCAGATCCAGGATTTAATTTTTTTGGGGGGAGAGGGTCTGCAGCCCGAAAGCTTTTGTTTTCATATATATATATATATATATATATATATATATATATATATATATATATATATATACATATACATATATATAAAACGATAATTAATTTAAAAAGAAAATAACCGCCTATATGACATGGTGTTTAAGTGATTATTGAAGTTCTATTGAATGTAATCACACGAACAATAATACTAATACAATAGTTTTTAATATTTTTTTTCTATAAAACATAGTTAGATTTTACAATTTTTTTGGGGGGGGAGAGAGATTAGCGGAGCTTCAGTCCGAAAGGTCTCCCTCCCCGTTCGGTATAGGGCTTAAAATCCCCTATTCCATATAAAAGTGGATGGATGATTGAAGCCAACCATCCTTCAGGAAAGTTCCTGATGAAGCGGGAGTGAAATGTGATCGCTTCTGGATAGTATACCACGTACTCCTTGAATATCTAGAAGAAGAGAGAACCAAACGATCACTATTGTCACCTAAAACAGCCCCAAGTTGATTTAAGAGGCTCCGACTTTAAAAGTCGAACTCGACAGGCTTAGGCAAAAAAATTGATTGATTGAAAAAAAAAGCCATATCCCTACTTCACCTATTTGAGCATATGGTTCTAGAGATAATTACCAAACCAATTCTAACCTGATTGGGGAGATCGAGATTCATTCTGTGTGTCCGTCTCGAGAAAAATTTTAATCCACCCAGAGAGGATTCGAATCGGCGTCTTTGGTTTGGGCGAGAATGTTTAAATTTACGCACTAACCGGTTCGGGCTTACGGCATTAATTTTGATAATCACCTATTTTTTTTAATACATTCATTTATTGATATTCACTATTGAATACATGTATACAAATTAATGTGCTAAAAGAATATAAAAACATGATAAGAACTTGTGAAGAAGCTATCCCTTGAAACTGGTAATCATCTTAATTTTGGTTTGCGCAGGAGTCTTACTTATTAGAATAAATCTAAAATACAAATTGAAAATTCGTTTATATCCTTTCGTTCACCCCTCTTCCGTCCACTCCTTCACAACATAAACAGACGCTTATCTAAAATGAAAGCCCTAGGTTATGACTTTTCTGTAGCTCCCTCCAGCAAATGTCCAGAAAAGCCCTTGCATTCCCTACAACGTTGTGCTACTATATCCGGAAGACTGAATTCTCCTTCAGTACAGAACGAATATTCCCATATCAAAATGGTGACCAAAAGGGACAAAAAAACATTTCCAATTCGTCATCCAACGGACCCATCAGTCTCTTTCCGACATATTGTTCTAAATTTTTCTATAAATTAATAAACAAAACATTATTTGACAAACTGACTGAATAAAGAACATCAATTCGGATGTTCGGATTTATGCACATTGCATTCAACAACATTGCAATTACATACTTAAATACGATTTGTTGTTTCCAGTCCTGCAAATCCTAATTCTCAATTGTTTGTGTGTCGCTATTATAGTTGTTTTATGTGTTTTTATTGCTTAAACTAAATAAAATATTGGTTATATTTAGTAAATCAAATTATGATGAAATAAAAAAAATTTGGATAAAATCATACTCTGTTATTTGGAAAAATCCATATTTGTTATTATAACACTTCTTAAGACGTTCCTAATTTTTTATTTGGCCCCTCTAATTAAATAATAGATAAGAAATCATAATAATATTTTATTTTAGTTTTTCCAATGTGACCTCAAGGACGTAGGTATTTTCGATTATGTGCTATATAAGCTTATCCTTTAGGGAGAAAAAAATGTAAAAAAAAAATATATTTATCGGAAATCAATATATTTTGATTGGGGAGGAATTATTTCTCGGTCGTAATTATTCTTTTAAATGTATACATTTATATTTTTTTTTAATTTATAAATTAAAATATAAAAACAAAAAACAAACAATCGACACCAATATGTTAGTCCATATGTTTTGATCATTTGTCGTTATTTGCTAAGAGTAAAGAATGCCAGGTTCCCTTCACTAACTTGCCTGATCATCCACTGTTTCTAGCCAAATTTGTCTGAAGCCAAGAACGATGAAGACCATTCTATTGCTCCTATTTACAATGCATCAGACGTTTTTCTTTTCAAGTAAGTTTTACTGAAGTATTACAAATTGTTTAACGAATCCTTTTGTTAATCATAGGTCATTAGGAACCGGAAGGACCGAACCACATTGAATGATTAGCCAATAAAATTCTCCCTGTAATTATAAGAAATACGATACAAAGTAGCATTTGAAACCGAAAATCATTTTGATATAGTATCGGATCTTTTGAAAAGGTTAATTAATGTATGAAAAAAAAAATTCAATTGGGGACTTTGGATAAAATTGTATTATGAACCACTTATAAAAATTCGGGCTCACAAACATTTACTTCTATATTATAGATAGTTATAAATTTAATTTTAATATGAAGCCAAGTCATTGCCGACGATATATTATAATTTTATTTATAAAATTTATCATAGCTTTTTTTGTTTTTAATATTTTTTTAATATTTTAAACCTTAAAAAGAAAAAGGAAATAAGCGAATAATACACATAAAACAATCTTTCCAAAGGTAACTTTTTGAATTAATTTTTTTTTTCACAGGTAATCTAAAAAGTTTTAAGTTTTCTTCGGAGAAGTAATATAAAATTTTACCATATGATTTTTAAAAGCTGACCGTAAAATTGTTTTTCGATGTTATTAGACTAAAATCTTTAAAATATTCAATGTTTTTGATAATTCTTAATATTTTTGAAATTTCTATGGCTATCAACATATAATGAAAATATTATTATGCAGAAAATATTATCGTCATATTATGCAGTTTTTAGATTGATTTTCAGACAAATGTTAAAATTAATTTTCACTAACGACCCAATTAACTACTTTGGTCCAGATGAGGTCTTGATAGACCTGTGTTGTTGGTTAAAACATTTATGGTTAAACATTTAATTAATATCTTCCTACTACTTTATGTTCTTCCCTGATCCAACAAATGGTCAACCATCAATACATAATAAATTTATCTATTTATTTTGTAAATAATAGTTAATAGTTATATTTTAAAAATAAAACTTTTTAAAGAATAGAAACATAATCACCGATTTTTTAACATTTCTAACAAGAATGAATTTTAAAACCCTATTACTTCTCAAAATACATCTGACCCGCAAAATGCAACCCAAGAAAGGTTATATACTATAATTGGTAAGAATTTTCCGTTGCATTCGATTCATTACGATACCTTTGTTGTAATCATCGATGAATAACTCCGACGTAACCTCTTGATATCAACAAGTTACAGTACAGATAAAATTCAAAAAGTGGAACGTTACATTAAAAATGAAGATATGGAAGTATATTTTTTGGAGAAGAAAGGATTTCTCGATTTTAATAGCCTGTTTTTAGTTTCGATTTTTTTAAATCAAATTTTTAAGTTCTATTGATTATGGTATCAGCAGCATCGCTTTAAAATTAAGAAATGATAGGCTTTATTTATTTAATTTAAATGAATTATGATTAAGATTGAAAACTCAATAGTTCTGCCCATAAAAGTTACGTCATAGATCAGCCGTTTATTTCGTCAGATAAATAAGGATATGCAGTCCAAAAGGTTGAAATAAATAGCTAGCCAATTTACCCGATGCCTTTCTATGTTGAATAACCATTTTCGTATTTGGTTTTGGCACATTAATGAGTTGGAACAGAAAAATGCATTATCATTCCTTTCAACACATTAATCTATTTTTTTTTCTCTATCTTTCCAGGCGCACTGAAATGTTATGAATGCGCAGGAGACTGCAAATCCCCTAAAGAAGTTGATTGCGCCGCGGACATCAAATGTTGCTATTCCTCAGGTAAGATCATCATATCCTTAGCGATCTTATTTGGCTAAGTTACTCTGTTTACGTACTTTTATGGTTACGTACATTTTTTTAATTTACAAACAATTTTTTTTTCATAAAATTTATACGATACAAAACTAAGAGACTCAGCAATCATCAGAGGAACCACCCCGCGCCCTCCACCTTCCCGCTGGATCTATTGAATACATTTCCGCCAAATGGAAAGTTTCGAAATGCTTCGTTTATTTCCGGAGCGAATCTTGATAAATATCGAGCCTTATTTAAAAACACTGAATAAATTCGATGGTGAAATTTTATTTTTCCAAATTGAACCTAAATAATAACTAAAAAATTATGTAGATATAAGTTTATTTCCGAAATCGGAAAAAAACTTTATTTAAATTTTAAATACTGTAATAGTTTCTTCTCGTCCTTCTTGTGGGATATCTGGAATGAAAAAAAAAAGGCTTCAATCCAACTCTAAAGAATCCTCACGGTATCATATAGAACTGCTTCATTTGTTGGACAGTTCTTTCCTTCAGCCCTTCAGATGTAATTTTCATATAATATTCTAGGATTTTAGTCCTAGTGGTCTCTTAGTGGTCCCTTTCCAGGAGTTCCTTACTTTTCTGGAGTTCTCGGTCCTTGCCAATCGAATATTGATTTCTTTTTTCCAGGGTGGATTTTAGCGCAAGTATTTTCAGCTCCTTCCTAATCCTTTCTTGAACTCTTCTAGATTTTCCTCGCACCCAACATCATTTCAGCTTTTATAATTCAGCTTATTTTATTCATAGCTTTTGTTGCCAAGCATGACCTAGCTCTAGCTCCCATATTAAATGTAGGGAACTATATTGATTTGTTTATATGAAGCTTGGCTTTGTGCCTCAAAACTCGGTCTAAAAATTCCGGTGCATATGCTATAGTAGATTCGGTTGAGCTATTTGCTATTTACCATATTTTGTCCTGCCTACTCAGGTGGGTGCCAAAATAGTTAAAGTTCTAAACGACTTCAAGAACTCCTCCGTTACAACCCATCTTCAATGCCTCCTCTTCTCAGGAAAGGACCAGTACCTTACTCATGGAGACATTGATCTCCATCCTTTTTAGCTGAAGTTCTGAAGTTCCTCCTGCCATTCCAGTAAAACCTTCTGCCGCTTCACTTTCGTATCTGAGTCCGGTCCTCATGTTCAACTTAGTATGATAGTTCAGACTGTTTGCCTTTTACAAATTTTCGTCCATATATATGGTAAATAAGAGCGAACCTGGGCTATCCTCCCGCTTGACACCTATATCAATAGGAAAAGAAGCTGATACTTCCCTTGATTATATGGTAGTAATGAGATCCCTTGGAACATTTGTAAGTACTAAGTTTTTCTATCGTTTATATTTATGATGGGACCGGTAGGATATAGTGGTTAGCACGCTACACTTGTAAAGTAAAGATTATATGATTGAATCCCGACATAGGGGCTTATTCTTCCCAGTATGGGTGTAGTTGCTGATCCTCGCGAGGAATTAGACCAATTACTCCCTTAATTAGGGGAGGCCTACTTGAAGGAATAGGCTAGTAATAAAAAAGTAAAATGTATTTTTGATGAATAAAATATAAATCAAACACAGTGCCTTATAATATTTTTGTTTGCGTCCTCCGTAATTACAGCTTCTGAACCCGCACTTCATATCGTTCCACATTGACTCTGAAAAAGAGCAATCTCTTTTTATTTAAGTAATATTATTATAAAATAATAGAACATATCTGCAAACTAAACATTTAATATGGTACAATATAACAAAATAAAGAAGAAACATCAAATTACATATGAAAACAGAAAAAATAATGAGGGTGTGATTGAAATCGAGGTTGGGCCTTCTTGTACAGCATGGTTGACATGTTTTTCCATTACTGCCACGGCGAAAACCAAAAGTGCATTTAGACATTTCAAAAACCATGGACACAACACACATACAACTTAACTTACAGAGAAATCAGCGTAAAGTCAACGTTTGTTTTTTTCAAATTTCTTTTGTTGCGACAGCAGGTGGAAGACATCAAAAACATTATCATAGGGGAAAAACATTTAAATATTTGTGTTTGCTATAAGTTTGTGAAATGTTTAAACGCTCCTTAATATATATAAGTAATCATATATCTATTTACTCACTTCCCAACTGAGAACCGTTAGTACATCCTCCGTTTACAATCAAAGAACATTACGATTCTTATACTTCCGATATTGATACATTTCCACTATCTTTTCAGGATTATTGATTAAATTTTCTGGTACTGTAGAGGAAATAAGTGTTTCTTAGCTCACTTTTTTTCAGTGCTCCATAACTTCTAAAATAACAATGATTTTTAATTTATATGATTTTTTTATTATTATTTCTTAATGACATTTACAACTGTATTACATAAATACATCTAGTAAATTTGGACATAATAGATATAATGACATGAATACACTTGCTGAGTAACTACCCAATGGTAGCACTCTAATGATATGACTACATTAGGAGATCACGGGGCCATCTCCTTTTCAGACGCTTCGGAGGGTTATCAGGAATGGAAGAGGAAGCAATGTTAGAAACGAGAGGGTTGGGATAATTCTGAAGTTTATTATGGAAGGATAGGTATCTGGATTGGGCCAGATCTGAAACATAAGGAACATTAAGATCTTAATGGATAATTTTATTAGTGACAAAATAAGGAGCATTGAGGATTTTACGAAGGATTTTGGATTGTAAGGATTGGATGCGAGAGGAATTCGATGGTTTAGTGGAGCCACTTAACTCAACTCCGTAAGTCCAAATAGGTCTTATTATAGTCAAGTATATGAGTCTTTTGTAATTAATGGAAGGTTTAGAGCGTTTGCCTAATAAGTGCTGAAGTAATCGGAAACGTCGAGTGGTTTCTTGTCGTTTCAGTCTAGTATGAGGATTATATGATTATAAGTTCAAAATAGAATTTTGTTTCATGCTTTGCAGATACCATGTTAATTTTTAAATTATTTATTACTAGATTTTGACTGCGAAGAAAAAAATCATTTTTAAAAATACTAATTGATCAAAGGTACAGTTACTATAGCCTTGGGCCACTCTATATCATACCTTGGGCAACTACTTATTCTTTGGGCTACGAATTGTATCTTGGACAATATTTTTCATCTCTCCTTCTTCGATAGCTGTACAGTCTTGGTCTCGCAGCAATTAGGCGGCCTTGGTTTTGGTCTTGCAGCCTGATTTTGGGCGACACTAGCCCAGACCAACCAATTGTGCGTTTAGCTTACTGAGCCTCTGTGAGCAGACTAGTTATCGCCATTGATAGCGATAGGATCAAAAGCTCTTAGGAAAGGACTGCCATTGATAAAGGATCTTTAAAACATTTTTTTTTTCAGTTGCTGCCGTCGGTGGCGGCGCTGCCGGCGGTGGAGCCGCTGCAGGAGAAACCACAGTAACACCCACTGCCGCACCACCTCCGCGTAAGTAAATCTTGAGCTACTTTTAATACTTTGATTTTTATAATTTTAATTTTTGATGTGTCAAAATACAAGCTTTTCAAATTTTGAGTAATTTCTATGAAAAATATTGAATAAAATGTTTAACAAAATGGTGGCTAAAATCCACTACATCCATACATTCAGTTTACCACATTTTTTTCAAAAATCGATAGAAATCAATTACACTGAATTTTTTTTCTAATTAGTTGTATGACTAATGTATCACTGCAAAACTTTAGTACATTCCTCAAAAGAGAAAACATAGTCATATAAAGTAGGCTTTCATGAAAATGAGTTTACAAACTTGAAAATATTCATTTTTATTTCATAAGCATTTGTCTAATGAACATATGTATATATATATGTATAAATAAATATTTGTTTTTGTTTATAGGAATGAAGAGGGATGGCCGTTGTAAGTAACAGGTTGTTTAGTTAATAATTAGTTTAGTTAATATTATCAATATCTCAAAATAAAAAAATATTTATTTTAAGACACCATACAATTTTACTAGAGCCACAAATGAAAACAATTTTTGGTGGAAGGAGATGGTTCGGGGTGGCGATCAGATATATAATAAAATAGTGGCAAAACTATTTTATTGAAAGCCAACGTTTCGACCCGACTTTGCGGGTCTTCTTCAGGGAGGTGTGCTCAGCAAGGAGTTTCACTCAAAACTTAAAACTCAGTTTTAAGTGAAACTCCTTGTTGAGCACACCTCCCTGAAGAAGACTCGCAAAGTCGGGTCGAAACGTTGGCTTTCAATGAAATAGTTTTGCCACTATTTTATTATATATCTGATCGCCACCCCGAACCATCTCCTTCCTCTATAATACAACGGTCAACTATTAAGTATTCAATACGAAAACAATTTTTTTTTTTTTTTTTTTTTGTTGGACCAAATATTATACAGTTTATGTTATTTGTCCAAGAAACACCCAAGTTATTTTCTCTGACACTTGTTACCGGTAGACCACCAAGAGTATTAATTGTTGGTTATGTGCATTTGATATGGGCGAATGCTACGCTGAGTACCGAGTACCAAATATTTTACTTAAATTGAATCACTATTTGATACACTCGTCCTGTCTTAATAACTTCCTGAAAATAAGTGAAAAATTATTAATTCGAAGGTTTCATTCTGTAGTTCTAGAATTTCAATTTCAATTGCTTCAATTTGCGTTTTCTTTTACCAAAATTTTATAATTTCAGAGTATCTTTAATTATATTTAAAAAAAACTCTCGAATTCAACTGCACGTTCCTACTTTAAATTTATAAATATCACGTTTTAACTTCACATTTGTTTTCTCAATTTTACAATCGAGGAAATGGCAATGAATATCTAGTCCTAGGTGTTTTCTACTCTCTGTACATATTCCCTATATCTTCATATTTATTTCATTTCCTATATTACTTTTATAATATCTTGGGTTATTACATAAAAAAAATAATATCCGTGTTCAAATAATATTTGCCTTCAAAATTATTTCGCCACTTCTCGTATTTTTTTCATTTTAGAAAAACATACTGAACAAAACATCAATAGGTGGTTATTCAAAGGTTTACTTTAAAATTTTAGACGGACTGATGACTTCACCATTATCCACTACAGGTAAGTTCTGAGCCAGTGAATTAATTTAGGTGACTGAAAGGAAATATTTTTTGTATTATATTGGAAATTTATTACCCGTTAACTTTAGCGACGGTAATAATCCAATTTCACCAAAAATTGTCGTCTTCATCAACACATCAATATCAGAAACAAAATTTTTTACGGGATTATATTAACTTCCGTTATGTTAGAAGAGGTTTGAAACATTTTGATTTTGCTCTTGTATTATATTCACAGTTTTAAAAACTCGTATGTTGTTATAAGAAATATCACTGTTTATATTTTGAATAACAGATACTTTATTTTCAACATGTTTATTTTAATGGACAGTTGACCGTGCACCAGTATTATGTCTATGAAGTAAATATAGTTCCTAAAGTAATCTAAATTTTTAAATAATTTTGTTTGCTTTCATTTTTTTTTAATTATAAACTATTCTTTTTTTTCAATGTGATCAATTAGTGACCTGAATCTTTTTATTAGACAATCTGAGATTCACCATTTTCAATCTGCATTTGTTTTGTTTTTTATTTACCGCTATTATAGAGGTGATCCAAGACTTTGGAGTTTTTAAACAAAAAACCTATTTGCAGTTTATTTTATTTTACCTTTTTTTTTTGTGAGTTTATTTATATATCTATTTTTAAACTCAAGAAAAGGTGAAAACACAGAATACCGGTGTGGATTAACGCAACCAACAGAAATAAGTTGTATATTGTTTCATTCCACCTTCTTATTAAATAAAGAAATGAAGACCTTAATTCAATAGCTGGTCTGGATTGAATATTAGAAATACGCATTAGCAAAATAATGAATATAAGAATGGAAAAAAAAAAGAAGCTTTAAAAGCAGATATCGCCCTACTTTAGATGAACATTTTCATCTTATTTTATAGTTTTAACTTCATTTTCGATATAATCCATGGTACTGAATCCATTTTATCAAATTATTAACATCCATCTAAAAATCTCATAAATGACTTCAACATATTTAGCATTAATCTGTAACTTTTTTATTTACGAAAATTATCGGAAATGGGACATTTTCGATCTGGAGATTGATAATTTGTTTCTATTTAATGAGATACTAAAAACGCATAAACAGCCATTTACCATTTACCTCCCATCTGAATCATAATTTAATTTAGTCAGAAAAACGACAAAATAGGTGACCTACAAAAATATTGGGCCATTTGCCGTGACCTCCAACCCCAACGTGTCAAAATAAAAGATTTTATACAGGGTGTTTCAGGGTTAAGTGACCAAACTGCGGAAATGAACTAAGGACCTCAAAACAAGAAAACATTTCCGCTGAAGGTGTGTCCGCAAACGATTTGTTTAGGTGATATTAACACCTAAAGATTTTCGTTTTGAATTATTTACGTTATATGAAATAAATAAAACCTATTTATTTGTTCTAACTACTTTATTAATTAAATATAAACACTAACATTCATATTAAATGTTGTTCAAAGAGATTTCCTTCAGTATTAAGACAGGCTCGCCATCTTTCTTCAACAGCAGCAGTGGCAGAACGACACTGGATATTGTTTCACAAGATTCAATTATCCTTCTTCGTAAGGAATTAAGGTCATTGACCGGACTTGCATAGACTTTTTGTTTAATTTCACACCAAACAAAAAATAAAATCCAGTGACAAGTGATATTTGCGTGTTTTTTTTGTGTGTTTTTTTTTGGGGGGGGGGAGAGGGTGACATTATTCCTAGCCTCTCCTAATGCTCAAGAAAATTGCTTTGAACAATATTTAATATAAATGCTAGTGTTTACATTTAATTAATTAAGTAGTTATAACAAATAAATAGGTTTTATTTATTTCATATAACGTAAATAATTCATAACAACGAAAATCTTTAGGTGTGAATATCTCTTAAACAAAGCTTTTCTCAGTTCATTTTTACAGTTTGGCCACTTAACACTGAACCCGCACTATATACGCTAAAGGGACCAATACTTTTTATAACACTTTTTTCTCGATTTTGTTATGACATTATCGTCCAATTCAAGTGGAAAGCAAATAGCTGTTGATGAATTTTTAATATCTCATTTAATCGATTAATATAATAAGGAAACTTTCCATTTCTGAGAATTTTCGTTGATCAAATAGTTTATGTTACGATAATATGAAGCCATTTACGAAGTTTTAGACGGGTGTTAATATTTGAAAAAGGGGTTCTGTGCCACAGATCGCTTACTCTATATTTATTTTTAATTCGAAATTCAGCCAAACTCATCTTTATCTTTTTTCATTACTTGAATAATAGTTTTGGTACTAAATTTTCAAAAAAAAATCTCTTTAAAAAATAAATAATAAAAATGTTAAAATGAAATTGATTGGTTTTGAAATTTTTTAAATTTTTTATTCCAACCGATCAAATGTAAACTCTTTATTTCTTTTCCACTGTTATTATTTTTTTTCTTTCTATTCAAAAATTTTTATGTCTCCCTATTATGTTCATAATTATTATGGTTTGTTCTTTTCCCTGAAGATGGCCCATGGTATGGGTAGTGTTTCCCAAATGCGAGATCATGATTAGTCAAATGCACTCGGTCTTGGTCTTGGTATTGGGCAAAGGTCTAGCAATTACCTATTAGCCTATTACTATAGAGATATTACTGTAATTTTTCAGATAGGGAAAACCTAACTAAGCCCGAGTGAAAAATTGGAAGAGTTAAATACAAAAGTATATTGGTTAGACCAATTCTTTACGTATAGTTACTAAAACTATCAAGTATAAGTAACTATTTTGCCTTAGATTTATCCACAAAAACATTTTTTTTTTTCTTGGTCTTGCAACAGTCAGGCGTTCATGGTCTTGGTCTTGCAAAGTGACCTAGACCAATTTTGGGTAACACTACATCTATGGGCTGAACATTTTTCAGTTATAGTTTATTGATTGTTTTTATTATTATTATTTTATTAAGGAACCGTTACTATTCCTACGCCAAGTTCAAATGCTGGTATGGAACCTACAGTACATTCATCCAAAATGTTTATGGGCAGTTTCATCGAAATCAGTTCTGATAATAACAGGTAGTGAGGAGGACAAAGCAGCTGATCGACCACGAAGAACCTCTGAGTACGCCTATTCGAATTTTCATCGGAATCGGTCGGATCCTATGTCTTGGATCCGATTCCTTGTGAATAGCAGTCCTTATGCTAACCCGTTAATACATCCATACGAAGCGTGTACCGATTCTACAAAACCGTTCTAGTCGTTCTAATACTAACGATTCTTTTTGTTTGGTCAGCTGTATACCCACTGAGAAACTGTAAGTACTTCTATGCAAGTTTTCATCGTAATCGGTCGAATCCTATGCCTAACGATTCCTTGCGTACTGCAGGACTAGGCTTAGAGCCATTAGTATGCCTCGCTTGTTTCTAAGAAACCTATTGCTAAGGTTCGTTTAGTGTGGTACAGGTGATCTAGCACTAAGGGAGCGTTGGTACGACCCGGTAAAGTTTCGTCGCAATCGAACGTAGACTGTTACTAACGATTGAAGGAAAGGTGTTATAAAACTAAGGGGCCTTAGTAAGCCTATACGAAACTCGTTTCTATCGTATATTCGAAATCGTTCGTGTCGTTTTATTACTGACGGTTCTCTTTGTTGGCCAACTGAATTACAACTAAAGCACGAATTGCACCTCCTGAATACGTGGATTTGGCAAGCCATTAATCCAGTTCAATGTTTAGATTGAATAACGCTTTCACTGTTCCATTAACCAATTTTTTATCACTAAATCAAATAAAATTGACATTAATAAAGAGTTTTAATAATAACTACCATTTCCAACAGCATAAAAATAGTACTAAATGCGTGAGCATAAATATTGATTGTCCCTATTATTGCTTCTGACATTTTACGCTGTTAGAAATAGCATTTAACTTGCTTAAAATTGTGTAACTTAACTGTTTCGTTTTGGTACTTAGCCCGTTATTCGTGCCCAACCTTCAATTGTAATAAAGAAGACAAATAATAGAGCCCTTGCGAAATAATGTCATTAGCTGAAGAAAAATTTGAAAGCATTTTTTTAATATTCTATAACCATAGGCTACCTAAACGAATTTTAGTCCTGTAATTCGGTTGATTGATTACAAAAAATGTTGTTAAAGTTTATTTATTTTTTTCTCCTTCAATTCCTAAACGGTGCATCGAAGCAAAAAATGTACTCTTAAAGAACGTTAACTCGACCATGGTCAACGATCATTGATTTACCGCATATGTCAAAAACTATGGAAAAGTACTACAAACGGGTATATAGCTTGGAAATGAGTTTTCTAAGAAAAAAAATTATAGAATAAAGGTTGTGTAGAGTATAAAATTCCGTGTCAACTGAGTACCAACTGTTTTAATATAGGTCAGATAATCCGCTCGAAATCGGCCATGTCCCGAAGTCTAGGAATTGGTAATGAAGTTATCTGTGTTTAAAATATCCAAAGTGAAAATGCAAGTGATCTGATGGTATTCTTACATTAATATTCTTTACCACTTCGTACCAGACCAGCATTCGGTAGGTGTAATTCAGCCTGAAGGAACCGTTAGTACGCCAATGCGAAGTTTCATCCGAATCGGTCGTGTCCTAATACTAACGATTCTTTGGTAAGAACAGCTGTTTGAACTCTTTAGAAGCGTTAGTACGTCTATACTTGGTTATATCCTAACGAGTCCGTGGCCTACTACTAACGATTCTTAGTTTATACCAGCAGTCCGAACACTTTCGTAGCGTTATTAAGCCTATGCGAAGTTTCATCCGAATCGGCCGTGTCCTAATACTAACGATTCTTTGGTTAGAACAGCTGTATGAACTCTTTAAAAGCGTTAGTACGTCTATACGTAGTTTTATCCTAACGGATCGTCCCCTGATACTAGCGATTCTTCGATAAGAACAGCTGTTCGTACACTTTAGAAGCGTTAGTGAACGTATGCGAAATTTCTTCCGAATAGATTGTGTGATAAAACAAAGATTTCTTACGTTCCATATCTCCGTGTATAACGTTTCATCAAAATCGGTCGAATATTTTTAAAATGATGTTGGTCTTTCACTGTTTGTAATCAAAATATAAACCTAAGGGACCTGAAGTAATAACCAACGTTTAGTAAGTATATTAAAATATTACTATGTTTATTAGAAATGCTAACTTATGTAGCTATTATACAAAAATGTTATAATAATATAATTAGTAATGTCCATACTTACTTTGTAAGTATTTTAAAAAAATTTATATTTTATTTGAAATTGTTAACTAATATCCTATTTTTTATTAATTATGTTACAATATTCTGTATCATTTATCACTAAATATGTTGTTTGCTTCAGCCGAGGATGTTACAAGAAAAAGCTTTTTCACAGGTGAGTATTTTCGTTGTTACCAATTAATTATTTATGCATGTACCAATTTGAATATATAAATAGAATAAGTATAAAGTGAACAAATATTCATTGTATATCAGATTTGTAGGAAACATCAGCAATAACTTTGTGGAATGACAATTTTACGAATATGTCAAACTTCCTACGGTTGTGTTTAATATAAGGTTATAAACATATATTCCTAACACGAGTATATCCAGGTGAGAGTGCTGGGATCTCTCAGAGATTGTTTTTTAATCAAAACATCTTCCTTTTTTAATCATATGTCGAAAATAGTATTGCCGCTACAGAAAGATGAAGAATATATCCCTACTCATACCTGCACTGCATCTTGCAACACCGCTATTTATGTTCTGGTAAGTCTAAACTGAGACACCTGGTAAATCTTTTTGGTTTTGGCTAGGCAACGGTCATCCTCAATCTTCAACTCAAACCATTCTCCAACCATGATGTCGCTCAGTTCAGCTTAAAATTCCAATCTAGCTCTGTTATTTGAGGCCACCACACAGACCAGATTATGAACATGAATTTTCCACCAACTCTCCCAGAAGTGCGTCAATGGTAAATATGTGTAAATTCTAACTATAAAAATTATTACGCATGTTTATTCAGGTAATGGAAGTTAATATTATCCATCGTGTCCCACTTGCCGCAATTTATGTTGATCTCAGTTGGCTTTGTCTGCAGAGATTTCACAATCAATGATATTTCAATACTCCTCGTTTTCTTCTGTCTTTGTTGATTATAGTGTTGGGTGGATCCATAAGTTCGTTCGTTTTTTTTAAGTTTGAAATAAAACATTTCTTTTTTTTTTTTCAAGTTAAGAACCAATTTTATTCTATAATGTATTTGCCGTTTCTGTTAATGATCTCTTGCCATCATTCTAATAATTTCATTATTCCACTCTAGTAAAACACCTGGAGCTTAGTAGCGAAAAATGGATCGAAATACGTTTTCACATCTCTCTCATCATCGAAAGATTTCTCACTGAAGGATTTTTGGAGGGACCGCAATAAATGATAGCCGGATGGTGCAAGGTCTGGTGAATACGGTGGATGTAATAAAACATTCCAGCCAAGTTGCACTAACTTTTACTGTGTGATCATTGCTTAGTGTGGTCTGGCATTGTCATAATGGAATACAACACCTTTGGACCGACTAGTTCCGTCGCAATGATGGTTCAACTTCGTTAGTTCCGTGCAATAGAATCAATCGGTTTTCCTTCGCGTGGAAGCAACTGGTAAAACAGTACGCCGCGATAGTTCTGCTATCTAGATAGAAAAATATTTTCCAGGGGTGGCATTAGGCGGTTGTCCACGATATCTCGCACACGACCTGGTCTCAGATGATCCACTCATCACTATCGATTGAGAATGGATCCCTTATGTTCCGGTGCATTGGTTGGCCAGATTTGCTGTAGTCAGCTTGTATGACCCCCGAACATCGAGGTGGGACACGTATCTTTGAGATTCGTATCTCCGGAACGAAACTTGGCAAACCATTTTTGAGCAGTATGTTCTGTTAACGCATCATCCTTGTGTATCTTACACATCTTTCGATGGAACTTCGAAGATTGCTCGTCTTTTTTAAAATAAAAAATACCGAAAATGCACTTTATCATTTGAAATATTCACTAGAATGTAGCACAAACAAAACTAATGTCGATGAAACCAAACATAACAATTTCGAAGAGTGGACATTAACTTTTTCAATAAGTATCATTATTGTACAAAAACAAGTGGAGATATTTGAATGCAATTCACACTACTTATGGATTCACCTAATTCTTTTCCTCATTTATTTTCTTGGTCTTAGGTTTTTTTTTATTTCCTTGGCCTTCTTGCTTCTTTTACTTAGGACCACCTCAAGTCTCAAAGGCTACCGAAAGGCGAGCTCTGTCTTTACGCCAAATTAAAAAATTGTCAATCTCCTCCCCCCCCCCCTCCTTGGAAAATTCAAATCATGAAATGTTTTGTTTACTTCTAGTTAATGAAACTAAAAGCTTGAGCTTTAGTCTAGTAAACTACTTATTATGTAAGTAGTTTACATTTTTTATAGAATATTTTATTGCTATATAGACAACATGCCAATTGACAATATATTTACATTATTTCTGTTTATAGAGAGAATGGAAGAAATAAGGAAATCAAAGGACATAGAAGGAGATGCCTTAGTTACTGGTTTTCAACAGAAATTTGAAAGGGGTAAAGATTATTAAATATAAAAATAATATGACACTTAGATATGATAGCAGTAGGTACAGAAGTAAAACCTTCGGGTATAAATAAATCGGAAATCTCAGATACGATTTTGCGATAATGATTAGAGTTCACTTTGGAGCAAACAGGCTTAATTGATATATTAAGGAATTGATTGTCAGAAAGAGACATTTTGTTAATGATTCCACTTTGATGGGTTCGTTGTTTGGACGAATGTGGTCCTATTTCTCACCGGGAGGAGGAAGGTTATTGAAAAAAAAACAACGGAAATATCTTAAAATATAAGAATAATCTCATATAAAAAGTTACAATTATTATTAGGATTTATCTTGGAACAAAAGAGACTCAATTGATGTATTAAGAGATTTATTATATAAAAGAAATGAAATGAAAATATTTTTAATTATTCTGGCACTGTTGTTCTAATACATGAAACATTATTATTATTAAATGATTGCGGTAAGTTTTGTTTCGAATTATCCCGAGAGTCCACCGTACACCATACAGCCTTAGTCAAAGTGGAAGAAAGCAAGAGAGGAAACTAGGAATTGGCTTGACTTGCATGGAAGGAGATGGCGTAGACGGTTGATCTGTTTCAGGGTAAAAATAATACGACGGGAAATTTGGGAGATGTATGGTTTCCAGGAGAGGGTTTGATCAAACGAACACCAAGGTTACTTCTTCATTACTGGAGGTTTAAATGATGATCCCTCCATTAATTCTTTCCAATCGTACACGAAAGCCTCGTAGTTCAGATAGGTAGCCTTACTAGTTGAACGAAATCCTTCTCCGTGTTGATGAAGAATTCGGTTTCCCTCAGTAGTTTAGAACTTATTACCTCAAAAGCTGTATAATTGGTGACGACATGCTCGCAGTTTTCGAAACACCTCAACGGGGACTTTAAGGACTTGAGGGTTGATTTCCTTCCCAATAGCATGGAGCTTGGCGCGAAACCATCCATGCTCTGTCAGGAATCGTGACACTCAATAATGAGGGAGGGCCCATTTCCCTTTCAACCTTGAATAAACGATAGGAAAGTATTTTCGCAAGGTAAAGCCTTTCTGAGTCGTTACCCACCCCCGATTCCACTGCTCAGCATATAACAGTTAAGTCTATACAGTCTAGCTGTGTTATAAATGTAGTTTAATTAGCCGAATCAAAAGCATTGAAAAGATAAATACCATAGAAGTTGAGAATATTACGAGTGAAATACGCCTTTTATCACATGCGCTTTAACAGCCGGTTAACCATCTCACATGTTAACGTGTCTTCATGGGGAACATAGAAAATTTAATGTTCTTTCAAATTGATTACAATGAATTTCTTCGAAAAAAAAGACGAAAACAAATATTTCTTGTCAAATAGACAGTCAACATTCTCTAACCCCTCACGCGTTGGCCCTACATCAAAAATCTACATATACAATAGATATTTTATCTTCCTCAACTTTGTATATATTAATAATTTAGGAGTCGTGTTAAAAAACTAAAAAAAGTTCAGAAATGTCAGTTTTTTGCATATATATCGCAACGCAATGCAAAATTTCCTTCGGGAACATCAAGTTCAGATTCAGCATTTCAAAAAATATAAAATACCGATAACAGAAACCGACTATTTCATTTTTTTTTTCTTCATCCAACATTCCTAATTTGATTACTTTGTCGCGTCAGTTTTCAAAATGCAACAGAGTACATCGTGAGCCATGTTGAATTATCCTTAAGGGACATATTCTTAACATCATATTAAAATTCCAGCCGTTTGTTCTTCCGTTAAATGAACCGTCAAATTAAGCTTCTTTTATTTAAATTTTCGCATAGAAAGCAACGGCTTGTTGCAACCGACTGACCGAAGTTTTGTATTAAGATAAGGTTTATCTATAATACAAAATGGTTACTAGCACTAAGTCCTTTCGTTAAATGAAATGGTCGCTAGCTCCTGTGGATGGTTAACTCTGTCGGGGTGTGATCGGATACTTGTTAGTATTAGGTATTCCAAGGCTTTGATCATCGCAGGGAGGAGACAGATTGGTCTGAATGGTTTAGAGAGTTGTGCTCTTGCCTTGTAGAACACTCTCAAATCGGCAATCTTCCACACTCTCGGAAAGTAACCAATGTCTTAACAGTCATTGAACATGTTCAATAGCCGTTCGTCATTGCATGGGGTATTGTTCTTCAACACTACAGCATCAATACAGCTTAGTCCGAGAGCTCGACCGATGCCTATTCTCAACACGTCGGAGATCATGCATGCCCCTTGGTGGAAACAAGTCCGTTCTAGATGGATATACTGTAGCGCGTAAAATATAATATACTGTAGTGCCACAGTTGCTTTAAGATTTAACCTCGTTATCTAGTATTCATTACCGCTATATTGAGTAGTTTAAACACAATACGGCTAGAAATAGACAATAGGCAGTCATTATCCTTCCGCACACACCTGTACCATTAACATGTACGCGCAAATATATTTAAACATATTTTACTGGGAATATTTTCTTCGCATGATATTAGATATTCTCATATATTGATGTCGAGTACAGCCAAAGCCTCGAAAAAGTTTTCCAGTCAAGAGGAAGACCAGGCGCTCGAAAAGAATTGCACTTCCAGTAATAGAAATGGCAAATCAACCCGGTACTTAGACCCAAGCTATGGCAGAAGAATCGTAATTCATTATTCAACTTCAATCCCTACCCAGTGTAATCGAACACCACAAACATAGAAAATATGGAAGCACCCATTCCCAGTCGGACCTCTCCCAGTGTTGGGCAATTACTGCAAAAAATGGGTAATAATTAATCAGTTATTAAATTGATTCAATGGGTAATTATTATAATTAAATTGCGCATTGCTCCCATTGAATGAGAATGATTTCTAATAAATATTGGAGGAGGCCAGAGTTGGGCAATGACCCGAATGAAGGAGTAATTAAATTAATTCAATGATTGTAAGTGATGAGTGATAACTCTTAATTGTTTAGCTATGAGTAAATCGCTCATCACTCTTTTTATCACCATGAGTAATGATAGTAAAAGGTTTTATACTTAGCTTCTTATTTGGGGATCAAACCAATAAAATAAAATCTCTTGTAATGAATTGAAAAATCAACCAAATTAATAATTAAAAATGCGTCATCTTCTATGGTGGTCTCGTTAGTGGATTCAGTAATTACATTTTGAAACTCCGGATTTTCTATAGTAACTGAAACTTTAAATATATTTTGTAAATATTACTAACCGTAGGATGCGTTATCACTTAGCAGCCATCTTTTGAATCGTGGGTAGGAGAATGCTGCAATAGAATTTCTCAGAAAGTACAGTGTTGAATGAGAAGAATTCTTCACTACGTTGCTGAAGATTTATTAGATTAAATAAAAGATTCTTTTTTTTTTTATAATTACTATAATGAGTGATTTACTCATGGCTTAGCAATTAAGATTGATCACTCATTACTTTCAATCATTGAATTAATTTAATTATTCCTTCATTCGGGTCATTGCCCAACTCTGGCCTCCTCCAGTATTTATTAGAAATATAAAAAATTCTCTACTCTTGTGCCAATTAAATAAGGTAGTTGGTACAGAAAAATACACAGGCCAATGCCTCCTACCAAAAAATCGTGAAATATACACTGACACCAACGCAGATTTTCACATATATCAACTACTTCTTGAGAGAGAGCTCAGGATCGTAATCAGGCGACTTCACTCCTCAACGCCATTAGATGTTATTCAAGAAGTATTAACGGGCAAGGGATTCCATGTTCGTCAAATTGTGAATGTAAATTGAAAAGAGGACCTATCGGAGATTTAAGATTAAAATTTACCGGTATTCTTGGTCGACTTGAAGTCGTGATGAAGTCTGTGGTCAAGGACATTTATAAAGTCAATAGTCTCTGTTATACCACAATAATTATCGTAAATTCCATAATATATATATATATATATATATATATATATATATATATATATATATATATATATATATATATATTTCAGTGCCATAACTATCAGGTTCATTGTCTCACAAAACATTATTGTCACCACCTACCTTGTCACGTCGCTCCTCTCTGAATTCAGATCCTTTAATTCTCATGTTATCAACCTACTAAGAAACATTGAATCGCAAACAATCAAATCACCGGAAAATTCTTAAGTGACCGATTTCTTAAGTTGTTCGAAATCATACGACGATTTTACTAAATGGCAGCAATATTGACATAGTCGTCATTAGGGCCTGATTGACTATTCACCATAGCGAACTACCAAATTTATCGAACTCTGTCATCATCTATCAATCCATCTTCCAGGACGTGTTCCACTCACCTGTCCTTAAATTTCTACAGCCCACTCCAGTTACAATTAAATCCCAATTTAATACATTAATTTCGAAATCCCAACTAAAATCTTTTCTTGATTGCTTTGGAAATCATTCCCTTCCTGGTGTAGAGCTAAATGCTAAGCACCAGTAATGGGGAGTCAGTACCACGAGCTCCCGAGACGAACATTGTTATCTGCGCTATAGCGAAATTCTCTCACCCAACATTCCCACATACTAACTGTCCTAGCCAATCCTAACCGAAATCTCGACCTCTTTGACTTTTTCATTCACAAAGGTCTAGGGTCACTGAACTATTCCGTTTCAGTTTTCGATCTTTTCTCTGACCATAATCCCTAGTACTAACCATTCCCACATCACCAACTCCCAGTTAACTGAAACTTTTTTCGACGACGAATAAAAATTGACCTATGAGTATCTCTAAAAACCCTCTTAAGACCAACATGATGCCAAAAATGTCTTCACTACCTCGATCCAACAAGAAGGTTTCACCTTTTTCTTTCATGAAATATCTTAAGAAAGATCATTTCTTCCAGGAGATTGCATACCTCATTAATGCCAAACGATGTTCCAGAACCCACTGCCAAATAACTGGGCATCCCGTCAGCCGAAAATCGTACAAACCCTTTCAATACTCTCCTCGCTCTCTACTTCTGATAACCCGCATTGGAAAGTAACAAAAAGCATCCTAAACAACATACTTTCTCCTATCACCTCCGACATGATAATGACTTTTGTAGGCTTCGTCAGATGATAACAGTTCAGAGGAATTTGCTAATCATCTATCCAAAGCATTTTATTTTTTTCTTGCCAGAAGGCACAGGCGGATCTATGAGGGGAAGGGAGCTTTCAGACTGAAGTCCCTCTCCCCAAATGGTAAAATCAAACCATGTTTTATGGTAAAAAATTTTAAAAATTAATCTCTTAAAGTATTATTGTTCTTGTAATTACATTTAATAGGACTTCATAAACACCATTTTTAATATGTTTAGTTGGTATCTTCCTTTTTTTTCTAGAGCAGTTATCGTTATATATATTTTTAAAAAAAGCTTTCAGGCTTTTTAGGAGGGTAGAACCCTCCTACCCCAAAAATGAAATCCTGGATCCGCTAGTGCCAGAAGGTTATCCTGAATGGATATATTTCTTGAGGATATCTAGACCCTCATGCTCTGAATGCTAGAGCTCTCTTGTCTGTTGACTAGAGAGGAAGTCCTTCCACGACCTTCATTGTGTTCAAGGCTGAAGTCTCCTCCCGAAATATTTAGAACCACCGTTGCACTCATTAATGCTGCTCTCGTCCCAGACTTGATTGATGTTTCTGGTTCAGATTTAGTTGTGGTGAAATGTTGCTTTCACGTGGCTAACGATTTCATTTAAATCTCTTGTTCATCAACATCGTAATTTTCGGTTTAAGGAAGGAGTGAACATCTGAATCAAGGACCAAGAAAATCTGAAGCAATCATATATCTATCGGAGACATATTCAATTACTAAATCACATCGTTGTACATTTAGCATCATTATTTTTATGCGCATAGATGCATCATTTAGAGGCTTCTCAAACAGTGCATTCAATGCTTAATGATCTCTCTCAATGAACTTGGGACTTTTTAAAATATATTTGTGGAAACTTATACATTCAAAAACTATCGCAAAGATGTTTCTTTAAATCTGGGCATATCATTTTGATTCATCTAATACCTTTGAAGCATCTTCTGAGAACCTTCTGAGCAAGTATCTACTGAATTAGTCATCTCTTTATTGGGTTCAAATGTCCACAACAAATGAGCTTCAATTGAAATATCCTTTTTATTGATATTTATACTTAATAAAGGCAATATCGTTTAAATTAGCGGACAAAAAAAGGGACACAGCCACTCTATCCTTTACTAACTGTTCCTTCGTGGTCCCAGAATTACATATTTATTGCTTTTATAACTCTATTTAACCTTTTATTAGCTTGCTAAGCTGTTTTTTTTTATTTTTGCTTGATCAGTGGTTAGTTGTCTAGCTACTGAAATCCTCAGTCTGAGTGTGCAATCATTGAGATTAGAGTCAACTCAAAATTTTCTTATGATGAAATATTATATAACCGTTTACAATATTATTATTTTAGTCTGTATGACCCTCCTATCTTTGAACCTCCATTCTCTGTGCTGTGTTGTTCTTCTCTTCATGTTATCTCTGTAAAATGTTGATTCACCACAAAGTTTGCAGAGTTCCCCATACGTTCATTACCGAACCAAAAATTGCTCACAGAACCTCAAAGTTCTTTTTCGTCGTTCTTGGATAGGTACATACTGTGATATATTATGAAGTACTTGGAGCGTTTGGGCTTCACTTCTTGATATGAAATCATATTTGCAATATAGATAGTAGAAATAACTACCTCTATCTGTATTTGCATACAATGCCACTTTTTTCGCGGTAAGCGGCTTTCGGTCCAGCCTACCTGAATCTGATGAAGAAAAGGAAAAACTGAGATGAGAGACACCTGTGTGGTTTCTGCACTTTCAATTATTCCTTTTCTTTAAAATGCGTTATATTACCAAAATTTCATTGCATATGGGTATGTTTTTAATCCTTTCGTAGTAGGTTGAGAAGGTGCTGAAATATCTCGAATCCTTTTTTCTTTTGTTGTTTAGTCATCTCCAGAGTTATTTTGACAATTCTTTGCCCAGTTTTAGGGGGGGGGGTGATTAAATCAATAGTATTTCTGCTCAGCTAGGTAGTTCACTTCCTTTCGTTTTGCAGGTTGACTGAGTTTGTGTACTATCAAATCGTCTTTCATTATTTAGTTCATACTTATAGTTATCTACTTCCTCGATCTGTTCCAAATCGAAACCTGATATCTCCAGTAGCACAATGTCGGTTTCGTTAATGATACCTCTTTTGTCTTAAAGAATTGATCTATTCAATATTAGTGGTATTTCGAGTAAACTTATTTCATTTTGTAATAATAGGTGTATCAAAAATTACCGTTTTATCAAATTCAAGATTTCAAAGGACTGGAAATATTTTAATCCTTTTTAATACTTATTAATCCCTGTAGAACATTCTTTGAGCTTGCTTAATCCAATTCGACCTCTTAAAAAAAAAACTCAGTTTAGTTATTTGTTTCAAAGAAGAAACATGACATTTAAAGATATTACTAGAAAAAACATTTCACAGCCGCTGACGCAACTTGTGAAATTATTAAACATTAAGGGAAAGGTGTCCTTGACCAGCACACTGTGTGGCGTTGGTTTGAAACATTTCGCAGTGGATATACTACATTGGAAAGGAAGAAGGGCTCCGGGCGACCATTGATGGATTTGATGAGGTTCTGCAGGAAGCTGTTGAGTTAAATCCGTCCACTATTACTCGCGAACATGCCAGGAAGCGTGATGTGTCGAAAGATCCGGTTAGTCGCCATCTATTCTTCATGGAGAAGGTGAACAAGAGGCAGTATGGTCCCTCTCGAACTTACTCAACAAAAATCAGCTAGGTAGTTAGAAATTTGTGAAAATATATTGGAAAACCCTTCTGATATGAGATTTTACCGGAAAATTGTCATCTGTGATGAAAAATGGTTTTACTGGCGAAATCCGAATTCCGGCGAAATGGTTAGATCGCGGTCAAACTGCTTTTCCGGTTGCTGCAAGGGGTAAAGGAAAAAAATCCATGCTTTGCATTTTCTTTGGGATATTGAAGGTGTTATTCATTACGAATTTGCTCCTCATGGATGCTCTATGAATTCCGAACTCCACTGTGAACAACTAGAAAAATTTTACGCGAAGTCGTCAGAGTGTTATCCTGCTTTGATCAACCGAAAAGGAATTTCATTCCAAAAAGATAATGCTCGACCTCACACTTTCCGTCGAACCTGAGAAAAGTTTAAAGAATCGCATAGGCTCCAACTCCTTCCTTATTCACCATTTATTGCAGACCTCGTACCATCGGATTACTACTTGGAGATTACGTGTGTGTGATCTAGCAATTGGCTAGCAGATGCCTAATGACGGCAGATAACAATGGATTATACTTTTGAGTATTAATTATATTTTATATCAAAGACACAATAATACAAATGTTTGGTTGGAAAACGGTTCTTTTTTTATACACCCTGTGTTATATGGAGCATATTCTACCAATTTGGGGACCTATCAATAATCGATTGTTTATTGACTTTTGTAACTGATGGTAGTTTTTGCGCTATTCATATATCCGATAAAAGATATTAACTTGTTATATTTTGGTGTGTGAATATTTGAGGATACAAGCTTTTTCTTTTGTATTTGTTATAGTTGTACAATGGTTAAATTACTTGAACAGTCTTTATGGATTTTATAAAATTAATTATATTTAGAATTTTATCTTCGACAACCTCAAGTGCTCCAGTCATAAGTGAAATGTATTTTGCGTTTTTTTCTGTGGTAAGATTAAACTCTGGAAGTTGTTATTATATGTTTCATTGTATTGATTCCATTTTATTTGCGACATCTCCAGTTAGATGAATCACTGTCGTCTCGTTTGTTTTCCTCCTGGCGAAGTTTAAAGCCGCCTAGTCTGCAGGTTGATTTCTGCATATACTTGTGTGATTGTGAATCTGTGGCCGTATCCATGCTAGCACGAAATCTCTATTCGATGATTCCTGCATCTCCAATAGATAATTTTTGATTTTCCTAGAAATACCATTATCGGAGATACCTCCAGCAATCCGCAGCTAGAATCTTATGTTCTTCGGTTTTATTAAGAACAAGAATAGTTCGCTTGTGCAACACAATGTTCATTTAGAACTCATTAGAAAGTACTGCTATACAAATAACAAGTGTTTTCGATGCATCCGTGAAGAGGGTTGTGTATTCGAAGTACTTTATATACACTTTTTTTTACAACTGATTGTCATTTTTTATTTTCTGAACAAGTATGATTTTATGAATAAGATGTTCCATCGAAGGAATAAAGTGTCATCTACTGTCATTATGTTGCCCAGTCCAAGAGTTGAAGGGGTTAGTGGGTTCTTCCTGTATGCGACCTGGGTTCAGTTTTGAAACTACGAACGAGGCATACGATAAAGTAAGGTATCCCCTTCTTAAAACTAAGTTCGGCTCCCGATTAGGTGTTAGCATAGAATAATATCTTAATATATATATATGGTTCATATATATATAATTCGGCATTCTAGTGAATAACGAAACTGGACTTAAAGGTATTAAAATGATGATTTTTCTTTTCAGCCTTCCTCATTGGTGACCATTCGCTCGCCAGTAAACCAGAGCACAATTTCAAAGGTTGTTGTACTGATAAGACAACAAAGGATACATGCAAGGATGATAGTTGCTACCTGTGCGAATCCGACCTCTGCAACAAGGGCAACAGTGGAGCCACTGCCGTCCTGGCATCAATCCTCAACATTCTTCTTCCTTTGGCCGCAATTGCAGTAGTCATCGGTAGTCCTAAGAAATTCTTAAACTAGCACTTTCCTTTTTTCCTTCATGGTAGTAGCTTGTTTGGAATAATTATTAGTTTTGTGTAGTAGATGAAACAAAAATAAAGGCATCATATTGAATTGATATAGTATAATTTATTCTTTTATAGAGTTTACATAACTAAATTAAGAACAAAATGTATGCAACAAGTGAAACATCTTTTCTCCCTTCATCATGGCCTCAATCCCGAACTGCTTGCTTTCTGTGGCCATAATTGGAGTATTATAGTTCTAAGAAACACTTAATTTAGTTATTTTAGTTGCTATGGAATAGTTATCTAATTAATTTTGTAATAAATCAAATAAAAATAAAGGCATCCAATTAAATTGACATTTTTTTAAAATAATTTACTTTATGAATTCATTAAATACGTTAGAATTATATTATATTAGATTAAGTGGCTTTCCAATGGGTTCCAAGCCATTGCGGGCTACCAGGAAACGAAAAAGCTGATGAGCTCGCACGGATCGCCTCGGAAATGCCACAAACTAATCCCCCGCTGCCCTGCGATTCTGTTAAAAGGATTTTAAAATCATTTTACTAAGAAGAGAATAAGAGTTGTCAAAAGCGACAGGCAGCTGGAAAAAATGGGAATGTTTAACAGATGAGCCGATAAAACAAACCAAAAATAGGAAAGAATCGGTGGCAAACTTCCGCATGGCAACAGGGCACGATTACCTGCAAAGGCATTTACATAGGATCGGAGTGGTGGAAAGCTCTGTGTGCCCTCTTTGCCAACAGGACGAGATGTACGACCTGCACCTCCCAGTTTGCCCCGCTCTGTCAGATGTCCGCAGTACTTCTGATGGGATCGGAACAAATGTAAACAAACGATTCATGGCGGAATTGTACTGGGCTGCCAGAAGCCGAATGGCCTAATAGCCAACGGCAGGACGTTTAATAAAAAAAAAAATATATATATATATATTAGATGTAGTCATAAAATGATTTATTTTATAAAATCTACTTAGTTATTTTTAATGTAAATTTAATTAATAGATTTATTTAACTTTAGTTGGGAGAATAACTTAGTTATTTAATAAAGTATTGAATTTGAATAATTTTCGAAACTTCAATTTAATTGAGATATTTAAATTAGTTGAAGCTTGTGTTAATTACGGATGGTCTTTACTGAACATACTTAAGAATAGTGTTTAATTAAGAATTACAGTAAATCAATTAGGTAAGCAATTTATGTTTAACATATGCTTAATAATGTAATTTGTAGAATTTAATTAATTTCGTTTTGTTGAATTTACTTAAGCTAATGTTGTATTAATAGATCTTTAATTAGTTTGAAATTTAATCATTTAATTTTAAGAACAAATATTTTATTTTGAGTTAGAATTTCATTGAGATGTATTAGTCAAGAAAAGGTTTTAGCTGTTGTATCTTAATATAGTTAGAAATAGTATACAATCCCCAATTATGAATCAATCAAATTGGCAAAGTGAGTACATTTCTGTTAAACATTTTCCTATTATTAAATTAGCAACTTTTTTTCTCTTTCATGCAATTTAATTATTTTTTCTAGTATATTATTTACATTAATAACGTTAAATTTCGTATCAATAAGTTGTACTAGGGTTTTAAGTAATTAAGTTATTTTTCGTCGATTTATTAGCATTTCTTATTAATTGAATCCCTTTCAATGAACTTATTCACTTAATTACCAAGAGAAAAAATAAGAACAAACTTTGAATTAGAGAGGTCAAAGAGGCAAGGTGTGACTTGGTTAATTTCTTCCAGCGGATAGAATTAAGTAGATAATAGAAGTAATAATCCCAGGAAAATATATTTTTACGATAGCTTTTAAAATATTAAAAATATAAATCATTTCCAGGATACATGTTTAAGGAAAAAGGAAGTATGTATATCTCAAACATAATTTTTTTTATAAATATATTTCTTTAAAGCACTGAATAAAAATAGGTGATTTGTCTCATATAACAAAAGGACATCTCTTATTTTTAAAAAGTTGAGAAAAAGGTAATTTTTATTTTGTAGGTCCAACTGTTGACGGTTCAACTTGAACATTCTTAAATTATCATTAAAAAAATGTGTTGACCTATAAAAGAAAAATTTATTTTTTCTACACGTATAATTATCAATATATTTATATCGTCACTGTGAGTGCAAAAAAACAAATTCTTTCGCAAAACCATAAAAACTGATTATTTCATATTTTATTTCCCAATATTTTTTTTTATCAACAGATTGTTTATTGCTAGTTGCAGTCCATAAAATGTCATCTAAAGCACAAATAGAATTTATATTGACAATTTTTCCTAACGATCTTTTGCACTAACATTATCGATATATTATAATAATTATTAATTGTATTATAACTATATTTGAACGTATATAAATTGTTTATTAGCTAAATTTCTTAAGTTATTGCGACAGTTTTTGAAGATGACATTGAGCTCACTTATGTACTGATATCTTCAACTGTATTGATTCTGTCTCATGACTTTTTTTTAATTCCCCCCTAAACAATAAGCACGTTTTCAGAGGGATAATACAAAAAAAAAGTTATTCTTCATGATAGTTTTCTTTTGAGGTTCAAGTCATACATTCAGATTTTTTGGTTCATTTTTTACAATAATGAATGTTTTAACCAAGAAAAAAAATTAAATCGTCCTCTTATCTCGAAACATGGTAAGAATTTTTTGAGGTAGGTTTTAGTTTTTTTCGGGAATACTCTTTTCATAAAAAAAAAACTTTCAACGGTCGCAATACTCTTGCATAAAAAAAAAGAAAATTATGAAAAAATATATATAAAAGAAGAAAAAAAAACTGCCGCAAATTATTAACCAATTATTTATATCCAAACAATCATATATGATTAGTAACATTACTTTCCTTGTCACTTTAAGGAATATATAAAATAAAAGGTTATTCCTAAATAATTTTTATTTTCAACGTTAGTAATTTGCTAAGAAAAATAAGACAGCGTTGGTTCAGTTGATTTACAAATTTCTAAAAATCAATAGTCAAAACAAAGGAAATAAGCTTTTGAGTAGAAGATATTGAAACTTTCAGGACCCGATATCTTTGCACCACATTTTCTGAATTTAACGATTTTTTTTTTATTTTAATTTTTTACAAAATTTCGATCATAAGTGAGCACAAAAAAGTATATTTTTTTTAGTTATTCCGAAATTTAATTGTACCACACCGGGACAGGTTATTCGACCGCCAATTTAATAGGAAAGTATTTTTCGGTAAATTAATGCTACATATATAAATTTAAATGGCTTCAAAGGAGGAGATTTTAGCCATGTTTCATAATAGAGGTACATTCGTTTAAGCACCAGTTTTTACGGTACAGGTTTTTCGGCCGACATCTAGATGGGAAAGTACTTTTCGGTAAATTATGTTGTATAGATAAATTTAAAGGGCTTAGAGGAAAATACTTAGGCATTGTTTCATTAAAATCGGTACATTAGTTTAGACGCTACAGTGTAAATTAACACAAGTTGTTCGGCCGCCATGTAGAAATAAAAGAGAGATTTCTAATGCCGTGGTAGGAGAATCATTTTCGGGTGGCATCTGACTTTTAAATTTAACTTTTTGAGTTTTTTGATCGATTACAATGGATCATTATTGAAGATAATAAACCAAAAATTGAAATCGAGACTGATTTTTTATTCAAAATACAAATATATATATATATATATTTGTATAGGGATTATATAGGGATTTCTTCCCTATGTGATTCCTTATAAGATCGTACTAAAATTCTGTCCCTTCTTCAATATACATTATTCTTCTCATTTTCTTCTCTTTTATGTTCGATCGTCTATCGAATCCATCCAATCCTCTGAAAATTGTGAATGTTTTCTCTTAACTGATAAATATGTATTTTTCTATTAATTTTGTTCTATCTTTTCATTCACTATTAAGTTTACTCTACAGTCCACGTTTTCATACATGTAATATTAATCTAATGGGCCTGGTCCCGCAATAATTATTATTATTATTATAATTATTACATATTTTCTCTGCTTCAGCTTCCCCGCCAGCTATAAGAAGAGGCATGACTGCCGGTGAGTATTTTATTTTTACGCGCATATCAACGTTTTTTTTTTGTTTTATGTACTATTTTCTTTCTGTTTTATGTATGTATAACTAATCATTTATTCATGCGCTGAACTTATTGAAATGTACACATAACATTGTATACCTAATTTCGCCTGCGTTAAAGAATAAATGATTTTTAACTCTGCACTACATTAAAATTTCTAGGATCCATTGCCTTCGCCTAAGCTCTTAAAACATTTTTTTATAAACAACAAATATGAAGTTATAGTCCACGGTACAGGCCCCTTTTTAGCAAATTATTTACATCTAAATCTTATTATAACCGTTAACATTTTTAATTACGAATATTCTCGCAGAAGGGTATTTTCAATCCGTAGATCATTAAACTGTAATGGGATACTAAAATGTACTAAATATGTCGGTTTTATGAGGAACTAAAAAATCATAAAAACCCATTTGGCTTCCACTTGAATCGTAAAATAATTTGATTACAATATCGAGAAAAAGGTGACCTACAAAAATAATGGGCCGTATGGAGTGACCTCCATTACCAGTAAGTCAAAATAACGAGGTTATACAGGCGAATCAGCCCATCATTTTTAGACCACTTGTTTCTTGATTTAGTGAACCAATTATCTTATGATACATATGAAAAGCAAATGGGCTCACGAGTTATTTTCTTGTTACATTAATTAAATGAGAATCGGATTTCTAAGAATTTTCCTACATAAAAAAGTTATAGGTTACGATAAAATGAAGCCATTTACGAAGTTTTAGCAGAGTGTTAATAATTTGATAAAAAGTGGTCTGTACCATGGACTATTTTAAAAATCTTTCAGCTATGGAGGATTTATTGATTTTTGTCACTAGATTCCTGTATTTTAGAGTCCGGTTCCAAATCTGTTGAGAACGTATTTGTACCAGAAAAACAAACATTATAAAAATGCTAATATAATCATAATACGAATATATAATACATATGATAAGCATCATTCATAAGCATCATACTTCATACATAAGTAAAAAATGATAATACAGTCATAATAGTATGATTTTGTGGTTATAGGGGACTGAGGATCTTTCCATGAATACAATAATCATTCATTATTAAATAAATTATATTAATTAATAGATTAATGTATAGTGTTGAAATATTTGAGAAGAAATCCTCCCCACGATAACTGGGACAATTCTGTTAAGAATACTATGGAGAAAAGAACAATAAACAACTGCTTACTTCTGTAAGCTTGTCAATCAATATCACGCGAAATGCTTCCCCACAACAATAGACACCTCAATACAAGGCAAAGGACCACGTAAACATGGAAGACCAAAAATCATACGGATAGATTGAAAAAACAAAGATACAATAGAGCTGTATGCAGATAAATGGAAATAAATTGCCCAAGATAGCAGAAATAGATAAGGTTAATTAAGGCGGCAAAAGATCTACAAGGTCTGTATTGGAAACAAAAAAAATTATTAATGATGGTATCCGATATATATTTTGTACAATAATTTTGCAAACTCTAATAATCTAACAATTACAATCAAAAATGAACTTTAAAACATATACATACTTAGATAAGTATAGCTGGTCATATCATATATCTATGAAATCAAATAGACCATATCTGAATTCAAGATTTGCGGTTAAATAGTATGTTCAAACTATTTCCAAATCCATTAGGTGTGTCGCCAAACTTTCCGTACATGTTCTGAGGAAAAGGTAATACCAAAACTGCTTGTTAAATTATGTCGAATAAATCTTGTTTTCGGTTTTGCCGCTTATGGTGGACTGTGATTTTTTTTTTCTTTAATGTTCGGTTCTTTACACAATTTAATAATCACCCTTAAAAGAAGCATCTGAAACGTTCAGAAAAATATTGAGTATTGAATTTATGTTTTAAACTAAAGGAAAGTGATAATGCTTCCATGAAAACATGCGAAGAAAATGCTTAACAAATACAAAAGGCAAATGGTGGCCCGATTTAGGCGATTCTTTTCTTTTTTTAATTTTTGGTTTTGTAGTGAATTTTATTACCTTTCACACGCGCATGAAGACAATTTACTACAAAATGTTACTACCTCATGAGTTATGTACAAATGAAGTTTTTCTATTTTCCTTGAATTTCCTCGAGAATGTATTTCCTCGAGAACTCTTAAAGACCCGCTTTGGTACACAAAATTCAACACGATTACAATACTTTCTTGCCCTAATAGCTCTTTCAATGTAAAAAGAGATAAAAAAGGAATCGTATTAATAATTAAGATATTTAACATATTCTTTCAATGTGTTATAAAATATTTATTTAAATTTTAAATTAATCTAACAAATTACCGAAGATTGATAACGTATTGCACGAAAACTTGCTCTTATCGATCAAAAATTTCACGTTGAGCGGAAAAAAAAAAGAAGCTTTCTATTCTCTAGACGATCATAAGTTGTAGAATATTTTTATTTACCATGGAATGGTCTAAGAACGTTACGTTTTAAAGAACATAGGAAGAGAGGTCGGTAATAAAGAAGTTTAAAGATTAATTTACGTTTAATACAGTTCAGAAAATTTGAGGATTTTCTTTGAAGTTAATGGATTTTTTTTTTCTTCCCTACCTCGCCTTTCGGCACCGGGACGCGAACTCGTACTTTTTAAATCAGCAATTCGCGGTGCTGTGCACACGCTTTAGCCCATTCGGCCACCCCGCCCCATGAAGTTAATGGACCGTTGACTGGTACAGTGTTCGTGGGTCGTTTCGAAAAGTATGTTACACGATCTACCAGGCCCACTTCCGTGCACCCTCCCCCCACATATTAAAAAATTATCTATCTCTCTTTAAAAAGGAGTTATTTAGCGTAATCCAAAAACGTTTGAAATTTCAAATGGTTTTGAAGCACTGCTGCGAACCCACAAGTCTTCAAGGGCGGAAACTTGGATTTTTATATTCATTACGTGGCTAACAATATAAAAAAATTGAATTATCCAACCTTTTGCAAGTAAACAACTTTTCTTGTAAATTATTATTATCTTTGTCATGTTCTTTAATGAAATTGGCTATTTACTTCGATGGGAAATCCTCGAGAATAAAGTATCACTTTCAATTGTTGATCCTTGGAAGGATGAGTCCAATTGGACCAATATGAGAGGTACACAACAAGGATGCATCCTGTTAGTAAAATCGAAAAAAAACATCATCACGGCGATGTAACGATCATGTTGATATGTCCGGTTTGGTACAAATCACTGTAAAACTGTAATCAGCTACATCAATGGATCAAGTTCCAAGAGCTCAAACATAGATGGCAGGATCGCGAGAGTGTCGATCTTAAGGATTTGTGTCTTGATGAGTTTGTCCGAGGGTATTTATAATTTAATAATAATAATACTTTATTTATAATAATAATAATAATAATACTTTATTTATTCTGGGACAAGTCCTTTTAGAATAATATATAAGGACAGTAATGTGGGCTAAGGAGCCTCAGAGATACATAAAAAGAAATGTTGAGTAATGAAATAGTCATATTAAAAATTATATGTTACTTTCTAACTTAAATAAGTTAATAATAAAAAATTTTAAAGTAAAAATAATGAAGAATAATCTAATAATTTATATAAATATTTACAGTGGTATCTATTTACAATTTTATAGGGACTGGGTGGATAAGAAATGATTGAACAGCCGGGATTTAAAGGTAGGGAAGATTGACGGATGTGGGAAGGGGTGTACTTCCATAAGGATGAAGATCGGATAATGAACGATCTGTCGAAAGCAGTGGTTCGGTAGGTCCACTGCTACTAGAATTTTCTAGAACGCTATCTCATAGCTCTCCCTTATGTATAAATCAGAAGACCTGGAACGAGTATTGCGGGAGCGAACAGAGGATTTGATTTGGAGGAGATCGGAGATGTATGAAGGTCGGTGGGATTGGATGACTTGAAAGAGGAAGGATGCCAGGAAATGCTTACGATTTGTATTTTTTATTCATTTAGATCAGCATGAAGACGAAATTTGGGGGTGTCCGAGCGGGCTAGTGTTCATGCAAAACACATTCTGCGGAGTAGTCTAACATACAGAATATAAGGAAAAACTGTAAAGCCAATTGGCCGATTCAAGGGAGAAAAAAAGTTTTATAAATATAGAATGAGCAAGTCTTATGAACAGAACATGAAGAAACTGCTCATTGGTAATGCTCCGAGCTATCGTAATCGGTCGAATCACTAGGAATCGGTATCGATTATCCAGTCTGAATTTGTCAATCTTTGATTCTTAGGAATCAAATACATAGGAGTGAAGTTTCCAGTCGATTCTAGATGATGCCGCTAGAACGCTATCTCATAGCTTTCTCATTTCTTCTCTGATGCTCACCTTGCTTGTTCAAGGAAATCTTTCAATCCTGGTTCATTGTTTACTGGGTTGATTTCTTTACCTTTAGAATCTACTCTTCCATGATTATTTCACCCTTCGGACATCTTTAGCCTATGATTTGTGTTGTTCATTTGCATTATTGTTTTGTTTATTTATTTATTTTTTCTCTCTGTTTGGTTTATTTCTATACTTTTTTTTTCTCTTTCATCTACTGTTATTTTCAATCACTTATTACTTTGTAAATATTTAATTTAGTGTATGGCCACACGGCCATATTTATATTTTTTTCTAAAAAGATATCAGTCCTAAAATCATTTTTCAATTTATTTACGAATTATAACTCAGACCAAAAGGAATGAAAAATTAAAAAAAAAAAAAAAATCGGTCCAATATTAAGTTGCTTCCTACTTATAAGATTCATAACTTATTATTTGTATATATTTGAACCAGGACTTTTAATTCCAATAAGATAAAAAAAAAAAAAAAATGTTTTTATGAATTACTAATTATATTTGAGAATGTTTGTTAATTTTTTTAAAATTTAAAACAACAAAATCTGGTGTAGTGCGCACAAAACACAACTTTCACGGTATTTTTATATTAAGGTATTTTTGGACAAAGGGAAGAAAAAGTAAAAATCACAGACGGTACAAAATATTTTTTGAAACTATCAATTACCACATGTTTTTTACATCCTTTTCTTTTTTTTTCTTTTTTTTTTTATCCTTCCCTTCCTAGCCGTTAAGTCTATACGGGGTTTTCCCGGGCCAGGGGTTGTGGGCGGGGATATAAAAGAGGCCTTGGCACCGGGACGCGAACTCTTGACTAATGTTTATAACATTTGTCATATATCAGGTTGTTGGGCATATACATAATATACATGTAAATATACATAATTAATAAAGAAGGCTGTTCTAGCCTTCGGCTAAGCTCGGCTGTGCGCTCGGGTTACGTCTGTTCTTGATTAATAACGAATTATATTAGATTGCTTCTCCTTTGGGTAATTATGGAATTCATTCATATTTTACCATCTTTTATATCGTGTTCCAATGTGAAATGATTAATTATTTAAAATAAACCAAATTAAATGTACTTTAGAAAAAGAAATTTTGAAAATTAGGCATTTTAGCCCTGATAGAAAACATCAATGAGAATAACGCCTACATTATAATAAAAAACTTTTGATTGTGCATCGATGTAATGAGTTTAATCAAAAACGTAAGGTCCGTTTTTGAGAAAATTGTAAAAATGTCTAAAATCGACTATATAACTTTCGGTTTGTGGTACTTCCGGTTTGCCAATTTTAACGTAAAATTTTCTATAACATTCCAGCTATATGCAAACCTTAAATACGCAACTTCATTTCCGTACGACTTTTCGGTTTTGAGCTGGACTGTTCACACACACACACACACACACACATACACAGGCCATTTTGCAAGACTGTGTTGTTTGGATTCAGAGGTCCTCAAAACATGTATTTCCTTTGAAAACACAGATCCACAAATTTTCATGATCGTAATACTTTCCCTTACTATATAATACATATATAGTTAAGTGAAATTAACAAGGTGATAATAATCAATTGAAGAATCGATTCACTACAATGATTGAATCGTTGCTAATCGGTTCAGGTAAAGAATCGAATTTCCCATCTCTACTTCAGAAGGTTTTTATGGAACTGTTAAGGACCACATATATTGAATAAAGAAATTAAGGAGAGATTCAGTTTTTATTAATCTGTTGAGTATCCATTTAAAGCCCAATCAATTCCACATACAATTTTTTCAAAAGTATACAGATTGCAAGGATTAAAAACTGTAGAAATGTGATGGCTTAGAACCCCAAATCTTCTGTTAAATTTATTGAAAACTTAATATTAAAGCTAAGACACATTTTTTTTAATAATGAGTATATAATAAAAACAAAGATCATATCTATGGACCCTTCGCCCGGTCGCTCACTTATGATAGCAAAAGGAAGCTTGGAATTGCACCTATATTCAAAGCGATAATAGACATCATTCTTAAAAATGTTCCCGGAATTCTTCATTGCAGGCGGACAAGTTAAACTTATGAAGGAAAGGGTGCTAGTGACGATTTGTCTTCGTGGAGAGCCGTAACAATTTACCGCATATTTAATATTTAATTTACCGCCATGACAATTTAATTCATATTTTTTTGTATCGCATATTGAAAAGGATTTTGATCATGGGCTTCGGGTGAAAATTTCTTTTTACCCAAACCAGAGGAGTTTTGAGATTGTACAACCGGGGTGCCATGTGAGCTCGAGAGTTATTGAGGCTATTCTCAAGCATGCTAAGAATAAACAGATGCTGCAGTCCCATTTTTGGATATAACTGGAGCATTTGGAAATATTGGCCATAATCATATTTTGAAGTCGTTAGAAGGTAAGGGTGTTTCATCTGACTTATGATTGAGTCACAACACTATAAGAATCAATCAGGAGTTCAAAAATACGAGCAATGTCAATTCCATGAGAAGCGTACCACAGGGTAAACCACTCTTCAATGTGAGTATGAATTCTCTGTACATAGAACTGCGTGATCCAAAAGTTGTGGAGGAGTATGGTTACGGTCCCATTTTACTTATACGTTTCGGATGATCAAGTTGTAACCACTTAGTGAGTTGGTACTGTCTGGAAATCCGAAAAAAAAGTTCCGGAATGATCTTAGAAAAGGGAAATTAAGTAAAATCGACGTTTTGCTTCGATACCGGTAAGGTAATTAGGAACATTGAAGAGAGTGACACTCAAATATGCTCAGTATCGGTTCTCTGTGGAGCTTGAGTTTGATGATGGTTTCGTGGCTATAAAGGATCTAAAGAGATGGGAAAAAATGTAAGTTCGAATTTCCTTTAGCCAAAACAGAAAGTCTATATTGTAATCGGTCAATATGTCTTCTCTTCTTATATACCTACTGCAGAGGGCACCATTGGCAAAATTGCCCCGATCGCTATTGGAGCCTATAGACATCGTAGAAGAAGTGTTAAGGGGATTGTAGTTTTATCAGCCAGCAGTTGCTCAGCTATAATATATACACTGCAGTGGTACAGGTGCTTGGATCTTCTACGGTGTCAATGGGAGGCCTCACTTCAGAACTTGTCCAAATTCCAAAATTTGGCCCATGTAACAGATGCTCTGTTTCAGGTGATGTCTTATTTCGAGGATGAAGTAAGAATATCTGCTAATCTGTTAGTGATCGACGCAAGTAATATGGAAACATCGCAAACACTTACGAAAATGAGATAGTCCCTGAGAAAAGTCCTTTCACGATTGCAGCAAATTTAAGTGGCAGCGAATGGGCGTGTCCCATTTTAAATCTAACCTACGGGCTAATAAATTTATTTACGTTAGGAAAGTGCTTACTGGCTCAGAATGGATGAACTCCATGAAATTGAACGTCAATTACGCTCCTCTTCGCGGAGTGCCAGGGGCCGAAGGCCATGCTAATGGAAATTTTGGCTCGTCTGCTGGAAATGTGGTCGAGAGTCGGAAACTCCAGCACACGTATTAGGCAATTTTCCACATAACATGCTTTTATCCTGCTGGCACAATAATATAAAGCATCGTTTAGCCAAATTTCTTGAAATGAAGAACGATAGACATTTCTTTGAAGTATATATTGCCTCGATACAGAAGGCTGAACTAGGTTCATTGACATTTTAACGTTCTATGGGACGGAAAAAGAGGCGCTAATAGTAAATCCTTCTTCGATGTGCATGCAGAAAATGATGAACTCTATACAATACGCATACTTTACTTGAGGTGAAAGTAAAGAGATGAATTCGGCGAGAGAGAATTCTCAGCTAAAGGGCTATGGTTCGGATGTAGGGAAACTATCCCTCTTAATACAAGTAATTGCTTGCAGAGGTTCCGTGTTGGAAGGGGGCAGATGATGACCATAGTAGAAACTATTATTTTATACTCGTTAGGAATCCTTCATAACCACATATATCGAACTTGGCCTTCGCTTATTTGATTCTGTAAACTGTAATTGGCATATTTTCCATTAAAATGGTCCCACCTAACTCTCTCTTGTTGTTTTTTTTTTTTATTTTATCTGTCGACTAATGAATATGTTGTGTGGACTCATACAATCTATACCATATAAAAATCTATTTTGTGTACCTCTGTATATAGGTACTATCTAAACATTTGTAGGCAAAACATATTTATATAGGTACTATATTGAATTGGATCATTGAGGTTTACGGAAAGCTGTTAATTTTTTTAATTCAATGTTTTATTTGTCGTATTTTATCCGATGTGTTGTATTTTATGTTAATCATCAAATCATGACACACTTCTTCAAACTATTTAATTAATGAGACTGGGTTGTAAGAAATGGTTCATTATTAACTGATTATATATATATATAGTATTGACAAGTTTGTGAATAACAAAACGTTTAGTGATCCTATTGTAATAACGGTCGTTTTATAGAATATCTCCAAGATGAGGCTGCGGCGGCGCCCTCTACAGAAGCACCAGCAGCAGCCGCAGGAGACGCAGGAGCCTCAGGAGGCGCAGGAGCCGCAGAACATCCAGCAGCAGCTGACAAAGAAGGCGAGGGAGGAGAGAATGAGCATAAATACAAAGGCTGCTGCGAGGAGTCGATAACGAAGGACACCTGCCCTAACGACGAACACTGCTACCTCTGCGAGGGCGATCTCTGCAACAAGGAGAGCACTTCTTCGGCCTCTGCCGTCCTCGCCTCCATCCTCAATACCTTGCTCCCTCTGGCCATTATTGGAGGAGTCATCGGTAGTCATGAGATATTCATAATCTAGCACTTTCCGTTTTCTCCTCATGTTAGCTTTTTTTCGATATTAATTAGTTAATAAGTAGAACAAACAAAAATAAAGGCATTGTATTAAATTGATGTGTTACGTTTTATTTTTTTGAGAATTTACGTAAACTTTTAATATTTTTTTTGTTTATTTATTAGTATTTGCGACATTTACAACTGTACAAATTGATATTTATTTATTAATACATAATTACAAAAGACTCATATACATGACCATAATAAGATCTATTTGGACTTACGGAGTTGAGCTTTGGAGCTAAACGATCGAATTCCTATCGTTTCCAAGCTTTACCATCCAAAATCCTTAATGCTCCATACTTTGTAACAAATGAAATAATCCATAATGACCTGAATGTTCCATATGTTTCCGATTTGGCCCAATCCAGATATCTATCCTTCCATAATAAACTTCATAACCATCCTAATCCTCTCGTTTCTTACATTGCTTCCTCTTCGATAACTGATAATCCTCCTAGGCGTCTGAAAAGAAAATGGCATCGTGATCTCCTAACTTAGACACTTTATTAGAGTGATATCAATGGGTAGATTCTCTTGCCTTGCCTTTTTTTTTTTGTATCACATTTGTTGAATGTATATCAATTCCTATCGTCTAATCAGCCTTATACCCTGCCTTTCTAAATTATTTGAAAAAATTATTCTTCGTCGTCTCGATTCTCTTCGATCATTCTACTGTTCAACAATGACATCGGTTAGTAGATTATATTCCTAATACTTTAGAATCTAAAAATTATTGTCCTGGAGTTTTCCTTGACATCAGTCAAGCTTTCGATAAAGTTTGGCATGAAGGATTGCTTTCCAAACTTAAAATTTTACTTCCTTCCACCTATTATTTAATACTACTCTTATATTTAACAGACAGACATTTTTTAGTAAAAGTACGGACAGAACATTCAGACATTAAATCTGTAAAAACAGGAGTACCTCAGGGTAGTGTCCTGGGACCAATATTGTTTAATATATATATATATGTCTGACTTACCGCAACACAGTGACACCCTACTGGCTACTACTGCTGACTTGAAAAATTTAATTTGTGATCTGCAAATTTCTTTGCAATGAGCAAATTTTTTGGTAGCTTCACAGCGTTTCATAACAATCCAGGAAATAGTTCAGTTCAGCAGTTCTCTTGGCCACCGCCTACGCAATCTTCGAAGTGGGCTGTACGGGTTTCTAGTGCTTTTAAGGTTTTCTGTCAGAGCATTTGTGTTGTAAGTTAGTCTTTGGTAAAAGTTGTTTAGTTTTTTTGTTTATTTTTTGCAGTGTCTGAAATTTTTGAGATGTTCAAGTCTTTATGTAATCTATCGTTTGCGACATAAAATGGTGCGTCAACTATTTTTCGTAAAATTTCGGATTGAAAAGACTAGATTTTTTTAATATTAGAAGATTTAGCAGAACCCCACAGTTCTATGCAATAAGTCCAAATTGGTTTTAGTAAAACTTTATAGAGTGTTAGTTTGTTAGTCAGAGATAATTTTGAACGTCTGTCAAGTAACCTAGATAAAAGACCGTATTGTCTGTTTAATTCCATACGTTTTTGTCTAATGTGTGTCCTCCAAGTTAGTCTTTTGTCGAAGTAAAAACCTAAATATTTAATTACCTCGGATGCAGGAATTTCAATGTCATTAAAATATATTTCGTGGGAAGGGGTATGATTAAGAGTGAATACTACGTACACACTTTTTTTTCATTCATTTTAATTTTCCACCTTGTGCCCAATCAGCAATATCGTTCAAGTGGTTTTGAAGAGTGGTGGATGCTCGAATAGGATTTTTATCTGAACTGAGGATTGCGGTATCGTCAGCAAAAGTAGCCAGTAGGGTGTCACTGTGTTGCGGTAGGTCAGACATATATATATATTGAACAATATTGGTCCCAGGACACTGCCCTGAGGTACTCCTGCTTTTACAGATTTAATATCCGAATATTCTGTCGCTACTTTTACTACAAAATGTCTGTCTGTTAAATATGAGAGTAGTATTAAATAATAGGTGGAAGGAAGTAAAATTTTAAGTTTGGAAAGCAATCCTTAATGCCAAACTTTATCGAAAGCTTGACTGATGTCAAGGAAAACTCCAGGACAATAATTTTTAGATTCTAAAGTATTAGGAATGTAATCTACTAACCGATGTCATTGTTGAACAGTAGAATGATGCTTTCTGAAACCGAATTGATGATTTGGAATAAATTTAAAGATATCAAGAGAATCGAGACGACGAAGAATATTTTTTTCAAATAATTTAGAAAGGCAGGTATAAGGCTGATTAGACGATAGGAATTGATATACATTCAACAAATGTGATACAAAAAAAAATATGGCAAGGCAAGAGAATCTACCCATTGATATCACTCTAATAAAGTATCTAAGTTAGGAGATCACGATGCCATTTTCTTTTCAGACGCCTAGGAGAATTATCAGTTATCGAAGAGGAAGCAATGTAAGAAACGAGAGGATTAGGATGGTTATGAAGTTTATTATGGAAGGATAGATATCTGGATTGGGCCAAATCGGAAACATATGGAGCATTCAGGTCATTATGGATTATTTCATTTGTTACAAAGTATGGAGCATTAAGGATTTTAGGAAGGATTTTGGATGGTAAAGATTGGAAACGATAGGAATTCGATCGTTTAGCTCCAAAGCTCAACTCCGTAAGTCCAAATAGGTCTTATGATGGTAATGTATATGAGTCTTTTGTAAATAATTGAAAGGTTAGAGCGTTTGTCTAGTAAGTGCTGAAGTAGTCGGAAACGTCGAGCGGTTTCAAGTCGTTTCAGTCTGGTATGATTATTCCAAGTTGGACGTCTGTCGAGGTGGAGTCCTATTTATCGGATTTGCTCAACTTGATTCATAATATAAACTATGTCTTGAAAGACTTTAGCGCTCCATCGCCGCTGGCTTTCCATCAAGCGCTGGGATAGTGAGGAGCATTGAGGATTTTACGAAGGATTTTGGATTATAAGGATTGGATACGAACGGAATTCAAAGGTTTGGTGGAGCCCCATAGCTCAACTTCGTAAAGCCAAATAGGTCTTATTATAGTCATGTATATGAGTCTTTTGTAATTAATTGGAAGGTTAGAGCGTTTGTCTTGTAAGCGTTAAAGTAGTCGGAAACGTCGAGCGGTTTCTTATCGTTTCAGTCTGGTATGAGGATTCCAAGTTAGACGTTTGTCCAACTGGAGTCCTAAGTAATGAATTTGTTCAACAGGAATAAACAATGTATTGTTAAAGGATATTGAAGGACAGGAAGTCATTGGTTTCCGACGAAGGGTAAAGATAATTTGATGAGATTTATTGGAATTTATTTTAATTCTGCAGTTTTGTCACCATTCTTTTAGGTTTGTGATATGTGATTATAGGGTTTGGGATTCAATCGATGGGTCATTATTAACTGATAGGATACATGTATCGTCGGCATACGTGGTTTGGATGTGTTGGAATGTAAGCTGCATAGACTGTGTAAAGGATAGGACCTAGAATACTACCTTGAGGAACGCCTGCAGACTGAGAAAAGCGGGGTGTTGAAAAGGCATTGTTGTGATCTACTTTAAAATATCTATCAATAACGTAAGAACGGATAATGAGGAAGTATGTAGATAATAATAATTTTTGGAGTTTGAACAGCAGTCCCAGGTGCCAAACTCTATCAAACGCCCGTTCAATGTCGAGAAATACTCCCATACAGTACATCCCGCTCTCCAATGCAGAGGATACTAAGTCTACCACACGATGAAAATAAAAAAATTAAAACATATAAGTAAAATAAATTGTATTTTATTGATATGCTCCAGTTAGAACTCGTGTGACATTAAATGGCTCTCCCTCAAGCATTAGACATGTAGTAAGCAATGAAACATGTTTATTCCTATATATAATATTATATTATGAAGAAACACACGCAATTTTTAAAACTTCATACCGAAACCGTTAAGGTAACAATTTACGTTATATGTGATAAATTCTTCCCAATTGCGTTTTATAGTTTAATAGTCAAGCAATAAGAGACAGTCATCGCTGCACAGGCACTAATCGATTAGTGTACTTACTCGATATATATATATTTTTTGGTGCACAACCTTGGATTGTTGTTCTTCCTCTAACTATGACTATAGAAGTTTGTTACTGACAGTATAAAAGTCTACTACTGACAGTATAGAAATCATACTTGGATATTTTTGAAGTGAAATGTGTAATGAAAAGGCCATAACTACTACACATACCTTAAATATTTGTAGACATAAATTCTTCTTTTTTTTTTCTACTTTAAGCACGGCAGGAAATTTTTGAATTTTTTTTTTCGCAAATGGATTAAAATACCTCAGACACTAAAAATCGTACCTGTATACAACAAGCGAGGGAAACATTCAGACTTTTATCTTCTTTTTAATGAGCTATAACTATTTGTAATTGTATCTTAACTTGATACCATGTTAGCGACAATAAAAGATAAAAAAGGAACGATTTTTATTGAAAATAATATCATAATGTTCAGCATTTCATGCTCTCTGCAATTTTCTAATATTCAAAATTGTATCTTGATGCGACGCCCTGTTAGAGATACAAAGAGAGGAAAATAGTGTCAATAATAATAACCAATTTTAATGAGGATATGGATTAAAATATCTCAGAAACTAAAAATCGGACAAGCACAATGTTAGCGAAGGAAATGTTCAGCATTTTATCCTGTTTATAATGGCCTATTATTTATAATTTATATTTCATATTACTCTCGCCTTGTTGGTGTGTTTTTACCCCTATCGTGTGGTCTAAAACACACACCTTAGTTGTTGTTGTTTTTTTTTTATTTATTAAAAATATCGACTGTTTTGTTTGTAGTAGAGTCAATGAGTGATCGAAAAGGGGGTATAGTGTGAAATGGAAGGAACATAATTTATGCTTTGGGACATTGTTCGGTATAGTATGGAATTCAATATGCTAAAAGTCCCCACTTAGTGGTACCACCACCTAGCAATGGTGAGCCAACGATGGGAGGGCACTCACAAGGTCGCCGATTATACCAAGGAAACCATGCATCCTAGTGATAAAGAAATTAT